AGGAGGAGGAGGAGGAGGAGGAGGATTGTAACATCCTTGGTGCTCTCTGCTTGGTTGTTTTCTTGTAGACATTTCATGACCCAACTAGGTAACATCATCAGTGCTAGTCAAGAAAGTTCACAGGACCCCTGATTGATTGATTGATTGATTCCAATAGAGAATATTTGTAGCTCAGGGTTGAAATGAGGTGGTTGAAATTGGTGCTCTCTGAGCTTAGTTGTTTTCTTGCAGATGTTTCACGACCCAACTAGGTAATGTCATCAGTGCTACAAGGGAGCGGGGTGGAGAAGGAGGAGGAGGATTGTGGGATCCTCAGTGCTCTCTGAACTTGCTTGTTTTCTTGCAGACGTTTCAAGACCCAACTAGGTAACATCATCAGTGCTAGTCAAGAAAGTTCACAGGACCCCTGATTGATTGATTGATTGATTCCAATAGAGAATATTTGTAGCTCAGGGCTGAAATGAGGGGTCACTTGGTGCTCTCTGATCTTAGTTGTTTTCTTGCAGATGTTTCACGACCCAACTAGGTAATGTCATCAGTGCTACAAGGGAGGGAGGTGGAGGAGGAGGATTGTGGGATCCTCAGTGCTCTCTGAACTTGCTTGTTTTCTTGCAGACGTTTCAAGACCCAACTAGGTAACATCATCAGTGCTAGTCAAGAAAGTTCACAGGACCCCTGATTGATTGATTGATTGATTCCAATAGAGAATATTTGTAGCTCAGGGCTGAAATGAGGGGTCACTTGGTGCTCTCTGATCTTAGTTGTTTTCTTGCAGATGTTTCACGACCCAACTAGGTAATGTCATCAGTGCTACAAGGGAGGGAGGTGGAGGAGGAGGATTGTGGGATCCTCGGTGCTCTCTGAACGTGCCTGTTTTCTTGCATGCGTTTCAAGACCCAACTAGGTAACATCATCAGTGCTAGTCAAGAAAGCTCACAGAGCACCAAGGACCCCTTGATTGATCTATCAATCAGTTGATCGATTGATTGCATTTCTATACAGCCCATCTCACCTAAGAGAGTGTGGCCAGCTTACAACACAGGTATTGTTCCTTGACTTACGACCACAAACTGAGCCCAGAACTTCTCTTGGTAAGCATGTTTTGCTCCTTTTTTTACTACTTTTCTCGCCACAGTTGTTAAAAGTTAATCATTTCATTTCATTTCATTTATTAAATTTATAGGCCGCCCAATCCTGGAGGACTCCGGGCGGCTTACAATGAAAGAAGAAAAAAAGAAAAGCAAAATAAGTTTTAAAAAATAGTTTAAAATACACAACACAATCACACAGTGGTTAAGTGAATCTTGCTGCCCCATTGACTTGCCTTCTCAGACGATCACAAAAAGGACACCAGACACAGCAACCGTCATAAATATGAACTACTGGTAGTTGCCAAGCATCTGAATTCCGATCTTGTGATCATGGAAAGCGGCGACTGTCGTAAGTGTGAAAAATGGTCATAAGTCATTTTTCCCCCAGTGCCTTCGTAACTCCAAACAGTGACTAAATGAACTCTTGTAAATCAAGGACGACTTATACTTACAGAACTTTTTAGCGATTCTTTTTTTAAAATAATTTTTATTACACAGGTTTTTTTTAAACAAAAAAGAAACAACTTTAACAGATTCCTTCTATACAACATTTCCATATCGGTATATATCCATTATATGTGCACCCCCTCCCCACCGCCTGGCCACTACTCCAATATGACATTATCTATACATGCAATTCCAGTGTTTTTATACATACAAATATATTCATTTCTTGAGTTACAGTCATTCATTGTTTGTCGTTTCCATTCCTACATATTTATTACTGATTTCTAACTCCTATATCTTCTTCGTTTAATCTTTCCTTAAGCTTTACACCTGTCTTCTAACCATTTGTACCAGGGGCGGGCAAACTGCGGCTCTGGAGCTGCATGTGGCTCTTTCCTCCCTCTGCTGCGGCTCCGTCACCGGTCGGCGCCACAATTTTGAGAGGAGCTTCTGGGGGGGGGGGAGAGAGAGAAGCACAGTGCGCCAGGAAAAGACTCTATGGCAAGGGGAGGGTTTTCCAGTTGTCTCCACAATTGATAGGGCTTCCGGTTATGACAGGCAGAGGAAAAAGTAGACCACTCTAGGAGGAGACTCTATGGTGGGGGAACTGAACTTCTGGTCAGCTCCAGAATTGAACAGGGGGGCTTCTGGTTAGGACCTTTGTGGCTCCCGGTGTTTTCTTTTCTGTGGGAAAGGGGTCCCAATGGCTCTTTGAGTGTTTAAGTTTGCCTGATTTATACCATTCATTCCATACCTTATACTAATCTGTTTGTCTTTTATCGTTGATCTCTTTTGTGAGATCTCTGCACACTCTAGGACAGTGTTTCTCAACCTTGGCAACTTGAAGTCCTGTGGACTTCAACTCCCAGAATTCCCCAGCCAGCATAGCACAGGATTCTGGGAGTTGAAGTCCACAGGACTTCAAATGGTAAGGTTGAGAAACACTGCTCTAGGACTTTGCTTATCATGATGGAGCCAAAATTATTCTTCCACTTTTTCTGCAATTACGTAATTCAGGCTGCCGTTATGATACGTTAAGCTTTTACAATAACAGAAAGTCTGTACTTTTAAAATCACGTTATACCAATCACATGACCGCATGACAATCTGCCTTGGAAATCATACCTTGGGTTAATGCTGCAATCAAAGCTCAAAACAATCTTTTTTAAAAAACCACATTTTAAACAATTCCCCGAACAATTTGCCATTGGCATCTTGTGATACCAGCTTTGTTGCCCTCGGATGCCACTCTCCGTTAAAGAATTAAAGTCCATTCAATCGTTGAGAGATTGAAGAGGAATGTTGTGGTCCGCCAGCAGCCAGCGGATCTGACAACAGATTCGGAGAGTGAGGAGGTTGGGGAGGAACCTGGGCCAGTCCTGGAGTCTGGGGAGGGCTCTGATGAGGGCTCTGTGTCGGAGGCAGAGAGGGGGCCAGGGCCGTATGC